CGGCTACCTGCGCCCGGCCGCGCCCGAAGACCGCGGCAGCGCCGCCATGATCGGCCTCGGCCTCATCGCCCGCCTCCTCCGCCCGCCGGAGCGTCCGGCCCGTCCGTCGCCTCCCACCACACTGAGCCCGAGACGCCGCCCCGAGCGCACCAAAAGGCCGCCGCCGAACATGCTGGGCGCCAGGCGGACCCGCCTCCCTCGGCCGCGACGCAGCCACTCGGCGACGGCCTCCGCCGACGCTCCCAGCCGCCGATTGGGCCGTGACGTGCCCGTCAATGTCACAATGGAGGCGGTGCCTCAAGACGAGACGCCCCCCCTTCTCTTTTTTTCTAAACCACCATCAAGTTTGCCTACGCGGGCAAGAGGGGAAGTGAATGGGGGACGCGGTGCGCAAGCGCGGGAAGGGACGGGCGGAGGACGGACGGAACCGGACCGCGCGCAGGCGCAGTCGCTCGCACTGCGCGCAAGTTCTCCGCTTAGGGTTGAGGCCTGAGCTTGTGACCTTCCCCCCCCCTTTAATGCTCAGAGGGGGGTACAATGCCATCGAGTCCACCTTTCAAAGCAGCCATTTACCTCCAGGGGAGCTGATCTCTGTCAGCTGGAGATCAACTGAAAAAGCGGGATATCTCCAGGCCTCACCTGGAGGCTGGCAACCAACGTTCCCTCTAATCTGTGGAGTCTTGTGAGCAAAAATCCTACTTCGTGAGCCCCTGGCATTAAAGTCGTGAGCCAACGATTTGGCTACTGCATAAATTAGTTTGCTCTGGAGCCCTCCTTCCTGAGCTGAGACGAAAATGTGAGCCGGAGGCTAAAAAACTGTGAGCTAGCTCACACCGACTCAGCTTAGAGGGAACACTGCAGTGGCAACCGGAGTTTGTTTTCAGGGGCTCTCTGCAGTCACCCAGATAAAGAACTGGAAGGGAGAAGAGGTGGAGCTTTCTTCCCCCTTCCTAGCCCAGACGCGAGCAGTGCCTCAATAAATAACAGCGCCTTCCTCCAGTCCTTTTTTTTTTCAGAGCTAGGGGTTACATCCTGACATGACCTGATCCACTGCCAGGCCTTGGGCTGTGGTGAGGTGACTCCCATCTGGACAGGCAATCGGCTGCCTCTGGCTTGGGGGGGGGGTGACCTCTGCGGCCTGTTCCTGGCCACCTTGAGAGAGAGTCACTTGCTTCCGTGGCCTTTGCTCCCAAGTAAGTGGTCCTAGGATTGCAGTCTGTGTTGCTTGGATCTGGAGGATTCTTCTTCACAGCCGTGCCAGCCTCCAGGCAGGCCCTGGAATTATAGCTCATCTCCAGACTGCAGAGATCTGTTCCCCTGGAGGAAACCGATGTTTTGGAGAGTGGACTGCATGGCGGGGGTGTTAAACGTAAGGCCCAGGGGCCGGAACTGGCCCATCCAGGCCTTTTACCTGGCCCACAAACAACTGGTATACATGGAAATGTAAGGCAGTGGTTGTTGTTCAGTCGCCCAGTCGAGTCCGACTCTCCACGACCCCATGGACCACATCACGCCAGGCCCTCCTGTCTTCCGCCGTCCTCTGGAGTTTGCTCAACTTCATGTTCATTGCATTGATGACACTGTCTGACCATCTCATCCTTTGCCGTCCCCTTCTTCTTTGACCTTCAGTCTTTCCCAGCATCAGGGTCTTCTCCAGCGAGGGCTCCCTTCCCATTGGGTGGCCAAAGTATTTGAGCTTCAGCTTCAGTATTTTATTTATTTTATTTTTATTTTATTTATCCTTAGATTTGTCTCCCGCCCTACCCCAAAGGCTCTGTATCTGGCCTTCCAGGGAACAGTCAGGGCCAATTTCCTTTAGGATTGACTGATTTGATCTCTTTGCAAGGTACTCCCCCTTATATGGTATCCCTTGTGGGGGGGGAGGGACGACTAGTCTTGCATATGATTAAATACATTAATTGGGGCTTTTGTCGTTCCCCAGTAAATCAATTGCTTTCAGTGCTAGGAATCAATTGCTTTTTGTCTGTATTTTGAGTAGAAAAATAATATTGTTAATTGGGTTTGCCTGTGTCCTTTATAAAGTTTATACCTCTGGTGCCTGGCATTACACTTGATGGTACGCATGGCCCAGCTTGACGAGGTGGCATTTATGATAGATCCAGCCCTCGTAACAAATGAGTTTGATACCTCTGCTCTACGGCGTTCTACCCCACTGAGTGTCCTCCCCAAGCTCCACCTCCAAATCTCCAGAAGTTTCCCAACCTGGAGTTGGCAACCCTACCCCCCACCGGGGATCAGGGGGGATCTGGCTACTCTAGTCCTTCAGCTACTGTGATGCAGCGGTTAGAGTGTGGGACTCTGGGAGTGCCCGGTTCTAATCCTCACTTTGCCATGTGGACCTTCGGCCAGCCACACACTCTCAGTCTAACCTACCTGACAAAGTTCTTTCCGAGGATGAAATAGACGAGAGGGAAATGATATCAGCTGCTTTGGGGGATAAATGAAGCAAGGAAATAAATCGTGTGGCTGCGATTCTCAGCACCGGCACCAGGACGTTACAACAAAAAAGTGTGATGTTAATGGCGTTGTGAGAAAAGAAAACCCACCAAATTTAGCAAATAGGTTAGCCAGCCTGATATTATTATTATTATTATTATCATCATCATCATCAATTTATACCTGCCCTATCCCACCACAAGTGGGCTCAGGGTGGCTGACAGCATACAGTCCATAAAACAATAAAACAGTAAAAGCAATAAAACAATCAATGGCACGATAGACAATATAATCAAACCCCAGGCCTCATATCAGCCTCCATATCGAGCAGAGGTCCATCAGTGGCTATGAGCCACAAGGTATAGATAGGAAATCTCGGTCTGGGGCAAGGGATGCTCTGTATTCTTGGTGCTGGGGGGGGGCAACAGTGGGAGGGCTTCTGGTGTCCTGGCCCCACTGCTGGACCTCTTGATGGCACCTGGTATTTTTGGCCACTGTGTGACAGAGTGTTGGACTGGATGGGTCACTGGCCTGATCCAACATTGGCTTCTCTTATGTTCTTATGTTAAGAGCAGAGGTCCATCAGTGGCTATTAGCCACAAGGTATAGATGGGAATTCTCAGTCTGGGGCAAGCAATGCTCTGTACTCTTGGTGCTTGGGCAGGCAACAGTGGGAGGGCTTCTAGTGTTCTGGCCCCACTGGTGGACCTCCTGAGGGCACCTGGGATTTTTGGCCACTGTGTGACCAAGTGTTGGACTGGATGGGCCGTTGGCCTGATCCAACATTGGCTTCTCTTATGTTCTTATGTTAAGAGCAGAGGTCCATCAGTGGCTATTAGCCACAAGGTATAAGTAGGAACTCTCAGTCTGGGGCAAGGGTTGCTCTGTACTCTTGGTGCTTGGGGGGGGGGCAACAGTGGGAGGGCTTCTAGTGTCCTGGCCCCACTGCTGGACTTCCTGATGGCACCTGGTATTTTTGGATGGGTCACTGGCCTGATCCAACATTGGCTTCTCTTATGTTCTTATGTGAATATAGGTGCTCCAGGCACTGGGAAAGAGGGGATACATATTTTACATGGATATTTAGAAATTATACTCCTTCCCTCCCTCCAACAGGTTTGCCTGAAGGTTTCTGGAACCTTCCATCATGGTCAATATTAAATTCTTTGAAAACCATTCCTTAATAACATTCCTTAAAGGAAGTTTTGGAGACCCCAGATAATTTGTTTCTAGTAGTCCAACTTGATTACATGTGAATCCACAACAGGTTCGCCTGAAGATTTCTGGAACCTTCCATCATTGACACTGTCTAACCATCTCATCCTTTGCCGTCCCCGTCTTCTTTGACCTTCAATCTTTCCCAGCATCAGGGTCTTCTCCAGTGAGTGCTCCCTTCTCATTTGGTGGCCAAAGTATTTGAGCTTCAGTTTCATTATCTGGCCTTCCAGGGAACAGTCAGGGTTGATTTCTTTGAGGATTGACTGATTTGTTCTTCTTGCAGTCCAAGGGACTCTCAAGAGTCTTCTCCAGCACCATAGTTCAAAAGAATCTATTCTTCGGCGCTCGGCCTTCCTTATAGTCCAGCTCTCGCAGCCATACATGACTACTGGGAATACCATTGCTTTGACCATGCGGACTTTTGTTGGCAGGGTGATGTCTCTACTTTTTATCATGCTGTTTAGGTTCGCCATCGCTTTCCTCCCAAGGAGCAGGCGTCTTTTAATTTCATGGCTGCAGTCACAGTCTGCGGTGATCTGGGATCCCAGGAACGTGAAGTCTGTCACTACTTCCACAGCTTCCCCTTCTATTTGCCAAGGAGTGATGGGGCCGGATGCCATGATCTTAGTTTTTTTGATGTTGAGCTTCAAGCCCACTTTTGCGCTCTCCTCTTTTACTCTGAGCAAGAGGCTCTTTAGATCCTTTTCACTTTCAGCCATTAGAGTGGTATCATCTGCATATCTGAGGTTGTTGATCTTTTCCCCAGCAATCTTAATTCCCGCTTGTGATTCATCCAGGCCAGCATTTCGCATGATGTACTCTGCATATATATTAAATAAGCAAGGTGACAGTATACATCCTTGTCGTACTCCTTTTCCTATGCTGAACCAATCAGTTGTTCCGTATCCGGTTCTAACTGTCGCTTCTTGGCCCTTATACAGGTTTCTCAAGAGACATGTGAGGTGGTCTGGTACTCCCATCTCTTTAAGGACCTGCCATAGTTTGTTGTGATCCACACAGTCAAAGGCTTTAGCATAGTCAATGAAGCAGAAGTAGATGTTTTTCTGGTACTCTCTTGCTTTCTCCATAATCCAGCGAATGTTGGCAATATGATCTCTCGTTCCTCTACCTCTTCGAAACCCAGCTTGTACTTCTGGCAGTTCTCTATCCATGTACTGTTGAAGCCTAGCTTGTAGGATCTTGAGCATGACCTTGCTAGCGTGTGATATGAGTGCAATTGTGCGATAGTTTGAACATTCCTTGGCATTGCCCTTCTTTGGGATTGGAATGTATACTGATCTTTTCCAATCCTGTGGCCACTGTTGTGTTTTCCAAATTTGCTGGCAAATTGCGTGCAGCACTTTAACAGCATC